GTTCCATCTCACAGCAGCCCTATGGTGTAGCATTCCTCCCCTTTGCAGTCCCTATTACTTAAACACAGTTTTATTATGTAGTTTGCTTGCTTTATCAGTAAAAGGGAGCCCTGTTGGCATAGCGATTACACATTGGGCTGCTTAACTATAAGGTCAGCAAGTTCGAAACCACCAGCTGCTCCGAGGGAGAAAGATGAGGCTTTCTACTCGCATAAAGAGTTACGGTCTGGGAAATCATGGGGGCAGTTCTACCTGCCATGTAGGGCCACTGTGAGTCAGCATCGACTTGGTGGCAGTGAGCTGGGTTTGTTTGGTTAGTAGTGTATGTTGGTATGACCTCTAGCTTGTCACTTCTTGGCCAGGTGTTTCAGTAATTCTTTTCCTTTTTTTCTTGTAAAGCTGCTTTTTCCTGAACTTAATCATTTCTTTTTGTTGTTGTTTGCTTGTTTTCTTTTTTAGCTTGTTTTCATTAAACTTACACTAAAATTTCCCAAATGCTTCAACATCTCTGCCACCTGCTGCCAGTAATATATTTTTATTTATTTATTTATTTATATTTTAAAAACATTTTATTAGGGGCTCATACAACTGTTATCCCAATCCATACACACATCAATTGTGTAAAGCGTATTTGTACATCATTTCTCAAAACATTTTCTGTCCATTTAAACCCCCTACATTAGGTCCTCATTTTTCCCCTCCCTCCCCGCTCCCCCCTCCCACATGAGCCCTTGATAGTTTATAAATTGGTATTTTGTCATATCTTGCCCTGTCCAACGTCTCCCTTCATCCACCTTTCGGCCGTCTGTCCCCCAGGGAGGAGGTCACACACAGTTCCATGTAATCGGTTCCCTCTTTCCTACCCATTCTCCCTTTACCCTCCCTGTTTTGCCACTCACACCACTGGTCCTATAGGGCTCATCCATCCTGGATTCCCTGTATTTTCAGTTCCCATCTGTACCAGTGTACCTCCTCTGGTCTAGCCAGTCTTGCAAGATAGAATTCGAGTCATGGTAGTGGGAGCGGGGAGGAAACCTTTAGGAACTAGAGGAAGGTTGTATTTCTCATCATTGTTACATTGCACCCTGACTGGCTCATCTCCCCGAGACCCCTCTGCAAGGGGATCTCCAGTGGCCTACTAATGGGCTTTGGATCTCCACTCCACACTCCCCCCATCATTCACTATGGTAAGATTTTTTGTTCTGATGATGCCTTACACCTGATCCCTTCGACACCTCGTGGTTGCATAGGCTGGTGGACAGTAATATATTTTTAATACATAGAGACGTAGCAGCTTCATTTTTTCGTTAAAAAAATGCTTTCCTGGGCCTTCCATCCTCCTGCTCCCTTGTGATCCTGTTTCCCCTCAGTAGCTGTCATCCTAAGATTCCCTTTCTCCTTCTCCACTGTTGAATCCCATGCTTCTCTGTTCTTTCGTTCTGGTGCAGTCATTTCCGAAGAAACTACCACATTGGAATTTGTTTATGGTATTTTGTTGCCAGGTGTTGTTGAGTTGTTTCTGACCCATGGTCACTCTGTGCACAACAGAATATTGCCCTGTCCTGCACCATCCCCACAGTCATTGTTATCTTTGAGCCCATTGTTGCAACCGCTGTGTCAGTCCATCTTTGTCTGTCCTTGTTTGCTGCCCCTCTCCTTTACCAAGCATGATGCACCTCTCCAGGGAGTGGTCTGTCCCGAGAGCATGGTACTCTGGACATGGCTATTCAACGTTCACACTTGGCTTATGATCTGGCTAGGCCTATAGAAATCTAGATTGGGAAAGTATTTGTACTAAAAGAGTGACTACTCTTTTCCATTAGCTTTTAACTTATTGATGTCTGATAGTATTCTATTTCTTAATCCGTTTTTGTGTCTAGAATACTTTGTTCCCTTGTTTTCTCCTTCTAGAGCAGGGGTCCTCAAACTTTTTAAACACGGGGCCAGTTCACTGGCCCTCAGACCCGTTGGAGGGCTGAACTATAGTTTAAAAAAAAACAAACTATGAACAAATTCCTATGCACACTGAACATATCTTATTTTGAAGTAAAAAACAAAACGGGCAAAAACCCCTGGCGGGCCAGATAAATGTCCTCGGCGGGCCACATGTGGCCCGAAGGCCGTAGTTTGAGGACCCCTGTTCTAGAGTTTTGACTAGTTGATTTCAGACCTCATGGAAAGACTGTCTGAGTTCTTAACTCTTCCTTATTTTCTATCTCTAGTTGTCTTCTCTTTTGGGGGAAATGTCCTCAACCATGTCCTTTAACCCTTCTTTGCGTTTGTTTGGTTGGGTTTGTCTTTACGTTTTTGTTACGTTTTTAACTGAAAGAGTATTTTGTAGAACAAGGTAGGACACGTCTGAGTTCTAAGGATCCCAGCACACAAACTCTCAGCAACTTTCCTTATTTGACTCTGCTTCTAATCCCTGCCCTCCACACGTTGCCCCCAAATGGTGAGCTTTTCCTGGGGAGGTGAGTTGGCTGCAATGCATATTGGTATTCCATACAGTGGTCATTTTAGATAACTGATTATCAACTGAGGTCAATTCTTCTTAATGGATAGGTGTCCAGCTGCTAACAAAAAGTTTGACTCTTTGACCTCACTAGCTGTTTCATGGGAGAGCGCTGTAACAATCCGTTTCTGTGAAGATTAAAGCCAAAATAACCTCAAACCCTCACCATCAAATCGATTCTGACTCATAATGACCCTGTAGGACAGAGTAGAACTGTTCTATAGGGTTTCTGAGACTAACTCTTCACAGGAGCAGACAGCCTCATCTTTCTCCCTAGGAGCAGCTGGTGGCTTCAAACCCTCAGTCTTTCAGTTAGTTACCAGCTCAAGGCTTAACTCATTATGCAACCAGGGCTCTTCCATGAGTATGATGTAAGTATTGTACCCTTAAGGACAATGATCTTGGCAACACTGTGGAGCAGTTCTGCCCTGTCCTACAGGGACACTGTGAGTTAAGAGTTGACCTGATAGCAATGAGTTTGGGTTTTTTAAGGAAACGATGGCTGGAGACTTGATTGTCACACCTTAAGGAGAAGGTGAAAGAATTATCTGTTCCAAAATGTCAATATTTTCTCGATTCTGAGTCACTGTGCTGCCTGCTTTTTGTCTTCCCCAGAGCACTCCTGTGCTCTCGTGTTCTTTCATGTTCTCTAGTCCTCCGAAGCTTCCACCTTCTGTTCCTTTCCTGCCGTTGTAATGGTATGCCCAGAGAAAATAATAGCCTGATAGCCCTATATCTAGCTAAGCTTTCTTGGCTGTGAAATTTTGCATAGTAAGTTTTCCGTCTAGAACTTATTTTTTCAATATGATTAGACTAGCTGATTTGTTACCCTCCAAGTGACACTTATCTCTTCCTTATTTTAAAAAATTTTCCCATGCTCCTAAATCTTCTAAATTTACATGTGTCAATCCTATTTTTCCACTATTCAATTCCAAATAGTTGCTTGTGAAATTCCCACTGTGTAAACGACCGTTGCCTTTGAGTTGGCTTCGATCTCTGAGGAACCCAGCTCCTCCATTCTTTCTTTCCCCAAAGAGTTCCTTGTGCCCTTTTTCCTGATAACGTCTCGGATCCATCTATCAAATCTAAGTCATTCCTCCTTAAAGTGCTATTACAATTGGAATTTGAAATTATTTTCTAACTAGTGAAAGATTTGGTATATGTACAATCTCGGTGTGTTGCTCACCTAGAGCAGTGTGTGTCTTTACATTGCCTTTTGGTGTGGAACCACGTCTGGCTCACAGCTACCCTGCAGGGCTGAGGCTGTCAAGCCTTATGGAAGCAGCAGCCTCGCCTTTCTCCTGTAGGTCAGGTAGTGGGCTTGAATCATTACCTCCTTGGTTAGCAGCCCATGCTTACCCCACTGTGCACCAGGCCTCCTTGTTGTTACTCTAAGTCAAGTTATTGCTTTTATGTATCAGGAGCTTTGTATGGTTTCTTTGTGTAGGTCTTGCCCATTTTATGTTCACATCACAGTCTTTTCTGCTCTTTCTTCCCCTATCTGCTTACAGTCCATTCAGTCATGCATACTAACTGATTTTTCCAAGTTTGGGGTCAGCTAGTGGCTTCCCTACCGACTTTCATTGCTGTTAAGAATATATACTTTTTTTTTTTGGTAAGTAGGTTGGTGGAATTATTTTTTAAATAATTTGTTGTATATGGGATTAAAGTTTCCACAGCAAAAAATAAGTTCAGATTTAACACTTTTTAATGCAAAGTCGTCCTATAACATTGGATAGAGGAGCTTCCACAATGGGTCCGCATTTTTATTCATTCCATTCTGTTTGTTCTGTTCCATTGATCTAGCTTCCCTTTCCCTCTCATCTTTACTTTGGGCTAAATATTGATCTCATAGCTGAGTGTTTGAGGGAGGCATTCCTCATAGAGATAGTTTTTATCTTATAAATCGATGTATTATTGGGCTGAAAGGTAAATCTCCGTTAGTTGCTTCCGGGCCAGATTCAAAGGAGATCATACTAGAGTAGTCTCCAGGGTTTCTTGTAGTTTCTAATTTTTTTTTTAAAGAATTTTTCTTTTGTTCTACATTTTTATCCTGTTCTATTCAGGGCCTGCTATTGTGTCCTTGTCAGAATGGTAGGTAGTGGTAGCTGGTCACCATCTAGTTCTTCTGGTCTAGAGACTGAATATATTTTGTATTTTTCCATTCATTTAAATGATACTAAGGGGAAGGACATAAATGTGTATGCCTATTCTGACTTCTAGAATATTTTTATGAATATATTAATAAAATATATGAATATATATTTGAATATATATTCATATGTATATATGGATATATATTTGAATATATATGAATAAAATATAGAATATTTTAATAGAATATATATTTAGAATATTTAGAATGACTTCTAGAATATTTTTAAGTAAGTCTAATTTATTTCTTTAATTTCTTCCAGAAATATTATTAAAGATAGCTGGGGGTGTGTGTGGAGATATACCTATTAATTTTTTTTAATTTAAATTATAGCTTGAAAATGAAAACTGTGACTTAAAGTCTAAAATACTAACAATGAACGAAACAATAGAGGCACTAGAGAACAAATTAAAATTCCAAACTCAGAAACTTGACCATGCTGCTGATGACTCATGTCACCAGAAAACAGAGATGAACTCACTGAGGTAAGTTCATGGGAATTCTGTGTTACTGCTCTTCTGGGCACATACTTGTGGTTAGGGACGGTTCATAACCATGGGTTTTCAGACTGGGTCTGGGAGCCGTACTTTCCACACACTGGGCCTTGCAGCAGAACCACCTGGGGAGCTCCAGGAAAGTATGGATTTAGAGGAGGTTCTTGGGAGCTTCTGATTCATTACATGAATCTGGGTGGGTTTTGAATATCTATTTTTGGAAAACATTCATAGATTAATATGGTTGCTGGCAAGTTTTTTCACTTCCTACTTTCCAAAAAAAAAAAAATTTTTACTTAGAAAATGCCAAACTAAAAACCCACTGCCATCGACTCAATTCCAACTCATAGTGACCCTATGTAGGATTTCCAAAGCTGTCAATCTTTACAGAGGTAGATTACCTCAACTTTCTCCAGGGGAGCTTCTGGTGGCTTTGAACCACTGGCCTTGTGGTTAGCAGTCCAATACTTACCCAGTAGTGCCACCAAGGCATCCCTTATAAGATACTTCAGATCATTTGTACTTTATTGAGTGGAGTTGCTGAAAATCACAGAATTTTTTTTGTATCCTATGTCATTTTCCTTCACTTATTACATCTTTCAATGAAATGTAAGATCAGCATATTCATCCCTCCTTTTTATTTATTTTTAATTTTTCTGCCTCTGTCCCTTTGTCTCTGTGAACTCCAGGGATATTTTTATGTTATTTTCTGCTGGCAGTCTTTTCACCCTAGTTTCCTCCTCCCCTTTTCCTGGAAAGGGTGTTTCTGTGTATCCGTGTGGTGTAGATACTATTGCTTTCTTACATTCCCACATGGCCCTCTAGAACATTTGAAGACATGGACAGAGAACAACAGAGTGATGGCTTTGTCTTAAGGAGGGCAGACAGGACACCATCACCTTTTGATTGGATGCTACAAGTGGTTTTGCTGTCTTCTTGCCTTAGCCACACAGGATAACCAAGGATGATTATTAGTTAATTCATGAACAAGTATATGTGGAGTTATGACTTTATGTCATCAGGCTCTATGTTCCTGAGTTAGTTGTGCCAACTTGGCCGATAATCACATGTGGAGCTAATTGAAAGGCGGAGGGATAAATGTGTGGTGAGCCTCGCCTTTCTAGTTCTCGGGTCTCTTGCTTTGTGATGGTCGCACCAGGGTGCAACTGCCTTAGCAGTTCCCTGCTTCAGCTTGCAAGATTGACTTCCTACAAGACATCCCCAAGGGGAAGCCACATGGACCTCTCCAGATGCAGCCCTGGGTGCTGGAGCAGCCGTTTGGGGACCCCTACTAGTGCTGAGATGCTTATTCATTCGCTGACTCAGCTTTCCTCCTGCAGTCGGCATCATTGCCTGTTTTGTGAGATGGAGGACTTTGTGGACTGGTGTTGGGTTAATGGGTTAATGTTGGACTTGTGGGCTTAGGCAGCATTGGGTTGGGATGTTTCCATGATGCGCACTGTCTTTACATAAAACTCTTATACATGAGTTGCTGTGGATTTGTTTCTCTAAAGTACCTAGACTAATACAGTTCCACACTAGAATTATAATGATAATACACTTATTGTATATATTATATAAAGATAATTTATATATAAGTATAAAGACATGCCTTTTCTCATCAGGGAAGTCATGTCAATTGTGATGAGTAAGCTGAGACATCATAATCCACTTTGTTAAATGCCCTTGCATGGAAACGGAGTTGCACACCAGACAGGAGTGACTAGTTTGACAGTTAGGGGTATCACTGTGGAGGTAAAGCTTAAGCTGGATTTTCGGTAATATTCTGGAAGTCCGGAAGTGATAAGGGTTGGTAATTCCATTTTAGGAAGAAGGAGCATCATAGACAACACGAGGTCTTAAAATAGGGTCTGATGTATCTGAAGATTGTAAGGTCAGTATGGGAAAATGGACTCTCTAGCGGGTACAGTCAGGTTAGGAAGAACTTTGTATGACAAGCAAGAGTATCTGGATCTGACCGTATCCACATAGAGAACAAACGGGAAATGGTACACCTTTAGAAAGCCAACTCTGGCAGAAATATGGAAGGTAGGTTTGAAGTCTTAACAGACTAAGACCAAGCAATGGAGGTGGAGAGTTTCTGTGAACACAGCAGCAATGGACTTGGTGGACAAAGGCCAAAGTTAGGAGGCAGGTTTTACATAAAATCAAAACCGCTCAGGTGGGTAACTATATGTAGTTGAGGGAGAAATAATACAGTGTAACTTTTACCTTGAAGACTAGATCTTTGGTTCTCCATAACTCAGTTAAAAATACAGAAGACTGGAGGAAACAGAACCCCAGTGAAATTTGGTTATTCTCTAGATTGCGTGACTGCAATAAGTAAAAAGATTCTAAAGCTAAGAAAATAGGCATTACCCAGAAGAATAGAAACTGTCTCTTAATTGCTCTTTCTACAAGAATCAGTCAACAAGACATTGTACCTGTCCAACTAAATCAGTCTACAGGATGTCACAATTTGAGATCAGAAAGAATTGTAATCATTTTTAAATGATTGCCAATTTCAAAATTGAAGATGTTAGCGAAAAGTAGATTAGACATTACAGAATACTGAATCAATACAAGAGACAACAACAAATTCACACAAAACTCAGAGGGATAAAACAAAGAAATAATGGGCTGCCAAAGAATATTAAAAGTACTATGAACTGCCAAAGGGACAAACAAGTCTGTCTTGGAAAGAAGTTTAGCCACAGTGCTCCTTAGAGGCCAGGATGGAGAGACGTCCTCTTATATACATGTTTAACTTTTCTGCTCCACAGATATTCTCTGTCCCTTTGTCTCTATGAACTCCAGGGATATTTTTATGTTAGTGTCTGCTGGCGATCTTTTCACCCTAGTTTCCTCCTCTCCTTTTCCTTGGAAAGGGTCACACTAGTGAGGCTGTCAGGAGAGACCAGCCCCGGAGCAGGACATCATGCTTGGTAGAGCAGATGAGCAGTGAAAAGCAGGGCGACCAGGTGGATTGACACAGTGTCTGCAACAGTGGGCTCAAGTGTAACAACACTTGTGAGGCTGGTGCAGGACCATGTCGTGTTTCGCTCTGTTGTGTATTGAGTCACTGCAAGTCAGAGTCTACTCTGGCATTTATTTAACAACAAAAAGGAAAACCAAACTCCCTGCCATCGAATCAATTCTGACTCATGGCCAGGACAGAACTGCCTCTGTGAGTTTCCAAGACTTTGAATCTTTGCAGGAGTTGACAGTGCCCTCCTCCTGTAGACTGGCGAGTGGCTTCAGACTGTGTGGTTAGCTCACTAGAGCACGAAGGCTCACATATAAGAACTAAGAATCCCTAAAATCCGTAATAAACTAAGCAATATAATTAGCAAAGCACAGGAATAATTAGGAAAGAAAAGGCTAGAGACCACTGGACTCTGCTTGTCAGACAAGTTAATAAAATAAGACCAATAGTTACGTGTGTCTAGTGAAATTTTTATGTCTGGTAAAAATATACCAACCAAATCTTTCCCATTTAAATTTCTTTCATCTACAATTCAGCAACATTAATTATGTTTAACATGTATGGCAAAATTTTATTTTAAAAATTTGAACATTTTTATACTTAGCTTAGAAGGGTAACCCAAACAGTTATCTATAGAGGAAGAAAAGGCAGCCAGGTATGCAAGGGAAGGGGGCTTCCTAACATTCATTGGTGGTGGGGGGATGGGATGGAAAAAACAGGTACTGGAATTCTTCCATGAACTTTTTGAAGCTCCTTCATATAAGCGCTAGAAGACATTGGAGTCATTTCTGCTTGATTTTGAAGAGAAAGAAAATTGTAACCCAAGAATTCTACACATTCTTTGGATATGTGTTTACACTTTAATTCAACTAAGCCATGGTTCATTTAAACAGTGGTCAAGCCGTAAACTGAGGAGGGGAGGGGCTTCCTCTGAGAATTATGAAGAGCCGAGGAAAGGGCTATAGGAGTGAAAGGGTTGATACAAGATCCAGCTGAATTTGAAAATTATAAGTGAGTCGTGCCCTAAGTTCAGGGTTGGAGCCTGGTTGCACTGTGGATTAAACATTGGGTTGTTAACCTCATGGTTGGTGGTACAAGCCCACCAGCCAGTCACTCCAAGGGAGAAAGACAGAGGCTACGACCCCTATCAAGATTTACAATTGCGGAAACCTATGTAGAATTGACTTGGTGGCAGTAGGTTTGAATTTTGACTTATGAGTTAGAATGGACTGAATGGCAGTGAGGTTATACATCAAAGAGCCCTGCCTGGAGGTGGGGTGGTTCAGCACTCAATTGCTCACCAAAAGGTCAACAAGTGTCACCAGTGGCTCCGAGGGAGAAAAGACCTTGTGATCTGCTCCTATGGAGGTGACATTGGAGGAAGCCCTGTCAGGAAGCTCCCAACTGCCATATAGGAATACTGTGAGGGAGGACAGACCTGGCTGTGCACCTGCTGCAAGAGCAGAGTGAGGGCGTGCTGAGTATCTAATAGGATTGCGGTCTGGGGCGGGGGACCAGGTAAAGTGAGACCACTTGGAATTGAGGAGCTGCAAATAGATTGCTACTGGAGGAAGAGAGGTCATTTAAATTCAAAACCCACTTTCTCATGTCCTCCTTTCCTCTCCCTTTCTTTGTGTTGTAGAGTAGTGCAGTTCACATGAGCTGCTCCATCAGCAGGTGGATGTGCTCACTCACGGAAACCTTGGAGGGCCCTCCCAGTCTTCCTCACTCCCCTTCCCCATCAGGCTCCTCTCCTGCACCTTTAAGAAATGCTGTGCCCATGAGTCATAAAGCATCCCCCCATTTACAAAAGGTCAGCAGTTCAAAAACCCCCAGCTGCTCTGTGGGAGAGACCAGACTTTCTACTCCCATAAAGAGTTAGTCTACCCTGTCATAGAGGATCACTGTGTGTTTGAGTATATACACACCCTTTGAAGGAGCTTGGGTGGTGTAGTGGGTCATGTATTGGACTGCTGTCCCCAAGGTCAGCAGTTTCAAGCCCCAA